GAGGTGGTCCCTCGGTCCCCTTCTCTCCAACCCAGACAGATGCAGAGCCCTCAGCCGCTCCTCACAGGCCATGCCTGCCAGCCCTGTCGTCAGCTTGCTTGCCCTTCTCTGCATTCAAGCACGCATTCAAGTACCTTAACATCCTTTTTAAAATCATGGAGCCCACAGCACTCAAGGTGAGGCTGTGCCAACACTAAATACAGTGGCGTAATCACGTCTCTTGACTGGCTGGTTATACTATGTTTAATGCACCCCAGGATGTGGTTTGCCCTATTGACTGCCGGAGCACACTGCTGCCTCAGATCGAGCCTACCGTCAGCCAGCACCCCCAGATCCCTTTCTGCAGGGCTGCTCTCCAGCCACTCCTCTCCCAGTTTTCACTTGTGTCCAGCATTACTTTGTCCCACGTGCAGAATCCAACATTTGTTCTTGCTAAATTTCATGCTGTTGATGATTGCCCAATGCTCCAATCTATCTAGATCCCTCTGCAAGGTCTGTCAGTATTAGTACAGACTAAGGCAAAACCAGAGTTGAATGCCTCTGTCTTTTCTTCATCCCTATTTATCAGGTGACTATCTTCAACAAGTGTTGGTCAAATGTTTGCCTTGGACCTTCTCTTGCTATTGACGTACTTAAAAAAGCCTTTCTTGTCTGGCACAACACTGGCCTGTTTCAGCGCTTGTTGAGCTTTGGCCTTTTGTGTCTTCTCCCTGCATATGCGAACCATGGCTCTGCAATCTTCCTCCGAAGCCTGATCTTGCTTCCAGAGATCATACAGTTTCTTTTTCCTCTTGAGTTCCAAGAGGATTCCCTGTTCAGTCAAGCTGGTCATCTGCTCCGCTTGGTTGACTTTTGACACAATGGGATTGCCTGCTTCTGTGCAAGGTTCTTTAAAAAAAAAAAAAAAAAAAAAAAAAGTGGTTCTTACAAACTGACCAACGCTCATGGACCCCTAAGCCCTCAAAAGCAGTTTCTCATGTGACGCTGCTGACTAGCTCCCTGGGGAGCTTGCAGTTTGCTGTCTTGAAATCCAGGGTAGCAACTCTGCTGACCTTTCTTCTCATTACACCAAAATTTTTTAAATCTACCATTTCATGATCACTGTGGCCAAAACAGCCACCTACCATCACACCTCCCACAAGTCCTCCTCTGTTTACAAACAAGCATAGGAGGGCATCTCTGCTAGTTGGCTCACCGAGTACTTGTGATGAGAAATTATCTTCATCTTCAGGAATTTCCCAGACTTGCTTGTCACAGCAGTATGGTGTTCCCAGTTGATGTTTAGGAAGTAAAAATCCCCCATAAAGACAGGGACTACTGATTCAGATATTTTTCCTAATTGCCTGTAGAATAACTCATCAGTGCTGTCATCCTGGCTGGGTGATCAATAGTGGGTACCCACAACAACATCTGCTTTGTTTTCCATCCCCCTAAGCCTCACCCAGTGGCTCCCAACCACATCGTCTGTAACTATAAGGGCTACGCAGTCAAACCTCTCCATTACATGCAGAAACATTACATACAATCAAATGTCTCCATTACATACAGACACCCCCACTTCGCCTGCCCTGCCTGTCCCTCCTGAACAACCTGTAGCCCTCCATCCCAGCACTGCAGTTGTTGGGACTCATTCCACCAAGTCTCACTAACACCAATGACATCGTAGCTCTGTGAAAGGATCAACGCTTCCAGTTTGTCCTGTTTGTTTCTTACGCTGCGTGTGTTGGTGTACACGCATTTCAGATGTGCTCCTCAACCCTCAGTGCTCCCTGGAACAGCGTAAATGCTCCCGTTAGCACCCTCAGACAGTGCTGTGCCATCCCTTGGCTTACCTTCAGTTCTTCCGGTGGGTTCCCTTTCCCTCATGTGTTCCTTTCCATGCACTAAGTTGCCTTGCTGCTTCTTACAACTGAAATGAATACATTTTTTATGTGTCTGAATTCTATGCAGTATGTCCTCAGGTGATGAATAGAAAATGTTGAATTTTGTTCATGCTGACCTTTGAATCAGGCCTTTTTTTTTTTTTCCTTTTTAAAATAGAAAGCTTGTGCATTTTCTTTGTAAACAGTGTCTTTCAGAAAAGAAATAGGTTTTGGTTTCTAGTATCAGCTGCTGAATTACCCAATAAGTTGTATTTGTGACCATTACTATAAACTGACGAAGCAATTAACACAAATAGATTCACGTGGTAAAAATTGTAAGTGTTTAACATTTTAGGTATTAATTAACAATGGCTTTACTCCGGATAAAGAAGACTATGAATTTTGTGCGAAAGTGGAAGATATGGTGTTGCCATCGCAAGGATATTTTGGAATATCTGCAGCAACAGGGGGACTTGCAGGTAGCAAATGTTAAAAATTGTGACAAACGGTGTGGGGACTTGCAGGGCTTGCAGGAGAGTTTGTGGGGTTTTTTGTTTGTTTGGTTTTTTTTACTGCTAGTGTTGATCCATTATACCGATTTCTTACCCCGATGATGTAATTAATCCTCTCCCATTCCCAAATTACTCATATGCTTAGGCCTTTTCCTGGCCAGAGCAGAAGGACTTTCAGTTTATCCTGACAAAGACATTGTGCAGTCTCATTCCCCACTGCATAAACTCTTGGGAGGACTTTGGGAGGATGCTGTTGCCTCAGGATCCTTTGCAAGTGCAAGGTTGACTTGGGAAGTACCAGGATTTGTAACAGTAGCAATTAACAGTGGGTTTTCTTGTCTATTGTTGAACACAGATGATCATGATGTCCTGTCTTTTCTGACCTTCCAGCTGACTGAGCCTGGGAAGGAAATAGTAAGCATCTTTATGCATAATTAGTAAAATATGTTCTTGTATATGTTTTATATGTAGTACCAGATTATGGCATTTTCTCTGAAGTCATACTTGGCATCCTTGTTTCAGGATTTTGGCAGGTAGCTGTGCTGTCATCAGTTTCAGAAAAATGAGACTAATACTATAATGTTTTGGTAATATTTTAGTTAACGTTTTCAAGACCAGAATTCTTGAAGCAACGCTGAATCAACAAAAATCCTGTTAAATCAAAACATGCAGGGAAAACAAACTAAAAAGTACACTTTGTTTGGAAAGTAGACAGATAATCTGTTACTGCTTTCAGTTTCCTGTACCTCTAGAACAGTTCTGTACTGCTAAACGGCATCTGTCCTTGTAAAACTTTATTTCTTTTCAAAAGCAGAAAGTAGGCATGTATCAGGAAAAAGCTGTGGGTCTCCATAGGAGTGCCTAGTTTCTCACTTCAACTTAATATATTAATGTGCTCCACTAAGTGTGTTATGTCTTCAGATCTGAAATCTGAACAGCCTTGCTGGAGAATAAGTTATATGGGAGTGGTGGAGAACATGAAAAAAACTCTCTCCCCCCTCCTCCTTTGATAATGTTTTAAAGCCAACACCAGATGCAGAAATTCCTCAGAAAGATAAAGAGAAGTATCAAGAAGAGTTTGAACACTTTCAACAAGAATTGGATAAAAAGAAAGAAGAATTTCAAAAGGAACATCCTGATGTGCAAGGACAGCCAGGCAAGTTATTTGAGCGATTTTTCATTTGTCAAGGAAAACAGTTGCTTTCCAGGATATTCAGAACTAGGGCTTGATACTCTGACTGATCTTACTAAGCTCCTCCTGATGTTATTTACTTTATTTAAGAATCTTTGGTCTTTTGTTTGTGAAGTGTTTTCTGAAATATAAAGTCCCTTTTGTCATGCCTGGATTGAGAACAAAACAAATGAACGGAAACATGATGGGAACAATGAGAATCTGTAGAAGGGAGAGAAGGTCATGCATCCTGCTGTAAAGTGATGATTAAGGAAGCATGGCCTTTTTAGTTATTTGAAAGGTCATCTTTTTGGTCGGTTTCTGCACATTCATAACAAACTTTTTTTTCCATCTTGTTTTATGGATGGTTGTTAAAGATGGACTAGTGGATATGCTGGGACATGTGCTTACTTGGAAAAGCTTTTTAATGCTTGCCTAATATTGGACATGTATTGACTTCTGTCAGTTTCAGCACCACAGAATTAGCTGACATTCAGTATTGGTATTCGCATTGGCTCAGAACCAAATTTCCAGCTTGATGTTCTTAAAAACTGTGGCCTTTATTTTTACATTTTAAGCTATTGTTAAGGAATTTAAGTTTGTCTGGGTAAGGCAGGTTTGCCCTATCCACTGTTGATACTATGCATCTGCAGCTCTCAGCAAGTATTGCTTTAAAGATATTTCAGACTGAACAGCGTTTTTGCACTGATTTCAAATGAAGATACTTAATTTAGGAAAATTATAATAATAACTCTTGCCTACTTTTTTGAGTGTTTAGCCAAAGCGCTTTGACTTTGATTGTTCTGCTATGGAACATGGTGGGGATTTTGTTTGCTTGGGTTGAGTTGTTTTTTTGCTTTGGTTTTGTTTTGTTTTGGAGCTGGGCAAAAAAGAATCTGCTTATTTGAAAACATAATGGAAGCCAGTCTGTTTCTTACTTTTGTGGATTGAATTAGCTGTATTTGAATGCACACATATCAGGAATATACTTTAGGCATCTAGACCTGAAATTTCAGGTTGTCATCTTTTTTTGTGCAGTGATGTTACAACTATTCTAAAGGTCCTACACCATTTTATCTTCATTTGTGTTTTTGAAATACTATCCACCATTGGTAAGAAATAATAATCTTTTTCTTAGAATCACAGAATGGTTTGGGTTGGAAGGGACCTTAAAGACCACCCAGTTCCAACCCCCCTGCCATGGGCAGGGACCCCTTCCACTGGACCTGGTTGCTCCAAGACCCATCCAGCCTGGCCTTGAACACTTCCAGGGATGGGGCATCCACAGCTTCTCTAGGCAACCTGTGCCAGCACCTCACCACCCTCACCGGGAAGAATTTCTTCCCGGTATCTCATCTAAATCTTCCCTCTTCCAGTTTAAAGCCATTGTCCCTTGTCCTGTCACTCCCTGCCCTTGTCAAAAGTCCCTCTCCAGCTTTCTTGTAGGCCCTTGAGGTACGGGAAGGCTGCTCTAAGGTCTGCCCGGAGCCTTCTCTTCTCCAGGCTGAACAACCCCAACTCTCCCAGCCTGTCCTCACAGCAGAGGTGTGCCAGCCCTTGGATCATCTCCGTGGCCTCCTCTGGACTCTCTCCAACAGGTCCATGTCCTTCTTGTGCTGAGGACCCCAGAGCTGAAGGCAGTACTGCAGGGGGGTTTCACCAGAGCGGGGTAGAGGCTTTTGGACTTTCTGATGTTGTTGAAGCTGCAGAGGAACTCACTCAAAATGTGCAGTCGCTTCTCTATTTTAAGCTACTTTTTAAAGCTTACTTTTTCTAAAAGTAGCTGTTACTTAATACCTGCAAATCTCTTCTGAAGGATAGTTGGTCATACAATGCTAGCTTCTGCAGAGATAGCTGCCTCCTAATAGTAACAGTGTCCTGTTTCCGTTTTATGTTGCACATTACCCAAGTATTGAAATAGGAACTCTAAGATGGTGTCTGAGTTTGAAGGTGTGGTTATCTCTGTTCAGTTGTTCTGATCCCATTTGGGTATCCTTTGCCATGGCAATGGTGATAAATAAACAGCAAATATATCAAATTATAAGAAAAAAGCATATCTGTGTAGAAATTTAAGAGTGCAAGAAAAATGATACAATGTAACTTAGGAAGAATGCATTTATGTAAGAACTACCTGTGCTTTTTTCTTATCAGCGGATGACATTTTTGAAACTGTAAGTGATCGTGAACTGAGACAAATCTTTGAGGGGCAGAATCGAATTCATCTTGAAATCAAACAGCTTAATAGGCAATTGGACATGATTCTGGATGAGCAGAGGAGATACGTCTCTGCAGTCACTGATGAGATTGCTAAAAGAGGAGCCAGTTTTCCAGGTCAACAAGGACAGGTAAATTAAAAAAGAAAAATACACCTTGATTGATAACCTAATTTCAGCAGCATGATTGATTTGCTTTTTCCAAGGTATGTTGATCTTTTTCTCCCCCACCCCTCCTCTGCCCCCCACCAGGTTTCCCAGCAAGAAGTTGAGACAGTTGTGAAAACTCAAGAAGAGGTCATTAGACAAGTAAATGAAATAAGGTAAATGCTGTCTAAATATTAAGGCTGTGTTTTGAATTTTCTATTATTTTCCACCTTTTAAATCCTATTTATTATTTCAGTAGGAGAATGTTGACAAACTTGAAATTTCTCTGTGTCAGTTCCTTAGTGATGACTCTCTGCATACATTTAATTTCTATAATAAAGTACGTTCATGTCCCTAGGGTGGCTAAGCACCCTAATTGACCTCTTTTTTTTTTTTTTTTTTTTTTTATCATGAGGTTGGACTTCAACAGGTAAGTCCAGTCCCTCTAAAAACAATCGATTTCTACTAATGTGGTAAGCTGCTGCCTCATGGCAATTTGTTGCTCTGGTTTTGGATTATTGAGAACAACATGAGCATAAATGCCTTTGATTTATAGCTAGTGAACCTAAAAAAAAAATAATAAAAAAAAAAGGAGTATTGGGATATCTTGTCGATATACTCAGTCTACTCCTGATATAATGATTGAGTTCATCATCATATA